AAGGGAAATACGAGTATCGTCATGTTTTCTAACCTAAGTCGTAATGAAAAAAACATTCCAATAATTTCTCGATCTTTACCAAGTATAGCGCGCGCAGGAAAACGTGCGTTCCATGGGACAGATAAAAAAAAATGATGACTAGACAAAATGGCGGTACATTAAACTACAGATTACTTCAACCATTTAATTTAGTCGATTAGTCGACTATTTAACCTTCAGTAGGTAACTAAATTTATGCTTGTATTAAAAATAGTTATTACTTTTAACATGTCTGCATGGAGTGTGAAGATAAAGAATCTGCTCTGTATATGAAAGCTTTCGTTAAAATTGTATGTTGAAAAGAAGATGAAGTCTAATCTCCTAGTTAGCCAAGTTACTTGGCATCTGAGTTAGAATATAAAGTTTGCTTCAGTAAGAGATAGTAGCTATTGTGTGGCTACTGAGCCGCCCAATAGTTATATAGCTTCTGACTGGTATAATAATAGCCAGTCTGATGCCCGTTTTCCGAAAGCCCGATCAATGTTAAAATCAACTAACTAGGTATCAAATCTCTTGTCAAGTCATCTGATTGGTTGTTGATAATTCAGTCAGCCAATCAGAGGACTTGCAAGAGATAAAATTGATTTTAACATTGATCGGCCCTTCGGAAACCGGGTCTAGGTCTAGTCTCCCTGCTTTATCCGCTCAAACCTAGTCTTTGACAAAACATCAGTCCACACTCCAGCTTGCCAGCGAGCCATGGAGCACAGTATCTTAGAAATTCTAAAATAAGGAATATCGTACTGCGCTCCATAACTCAAATCGCTGATGTTGGTTAGAAATCCGCGAGCCTCAAATAGAACTGGGATGGACATCGCTCGTCAGACCGAGGGGTAGGTATAACCTGGGTGTCTTCAAGGTCTGAGTGAATAGGTAGCTTATGGGTAGGTAAGCTCCATAGTAGACCGCATGATCGCTTACTATAAACACCAATAAAAAAAAAAAAAAAAAAAACAGTTCGAATTTTTTTTCAGTACGTTGATATCCTTATCTTCGTGCACCATGCAAATTGATTGATTGGCAACTTTATTTTCATCTCTTTCACACTTTCATGAAAGACAGAGAAAGACTGGCTAGTCAAAATGTCATAAGTAATGATTATTTTTTTTAAATTTAATGTTTCTTTTATGATTACATCGGGAACTATATTCAATACGCTTTTTTAACCACTAAGTTATATTTAAAAGTATGCAATTCCAGTATCTATTTATAACAATAAAACAAAATCTAGACTAAAATCAAAATTTTCTAAATAATCTACCTACTTATAGGTGCCTCTAAAATACTAAAACTCGAAAAAATAAATGCGAAGCTTACAATTAAAATTATTCTTTTTAGGGCTGATTTTTCAATGGATAGATAGAAAGTTACTTGGGGAATAATTTATGATGCTGTCGCGTCAGAATGTTTGTATAAGACAGTGACAGCAACAATTTTATTCCTCGAATAACTTTTATCTAACCATTGAAAAATGAGCCCTTAAAACAAAAGTTTTGACGTTTTTTTTTTCATTAAAAATAAAAATGTACCATTAAAATGAATATACCTATTTGATATGATACAATTGCTTGACAATTAATTTTAAAATATTCTTAACTTTACAATAAATTTTAAAATGTGACGTGTTAAAAATATCAGAGCTTGAAATAGGTGTGTAAGTTCTAGCTATGTTCTATTTTCGTTTAAAGAAAAAAATAATAAAACAAATTATAAAATATCAGTGCAAGGATAGTAGTCTTGGCATTTTTTATATAACATAAGTCATAAAGACCAAATCCAGGCGTAAATTTCACGAATTTCATTCAAATACATGTTAAAAATCATTTGCTTATAAAAAAATGCCGAGACTATCAACCTGAGAAAAATTAAAAATATTTTAGATAGGTTCTTGTAATTTCTTAAAAATAATACGTATATTATGATTTCTCAATTCCGTATTTTTATTCAATTCTGTGTATGATTGAGATGCAAAAAATATTTTTATTGGTAACGTAAAAAAAATATGAAGACAAGTAGGTACATGCATAAGAAATTGTGAAATAATTAATATTTTGTGTAAAGTGATTGCTCAAAAGGATGTTCGAAGCTCATAAGAGACCGTTGTAATATAAACACGTTAAAATTGGACCAAAAAAGCCAAAAATGAATCTTAGAAATAAATAAGATTGTTTTCGAAAAATATCAGATATCATGTTAGGTAAGCATATCCAAAATTTTTTGTTTTTTCTTTTTCATTCTTAATAACACTTTTCAAAATTATATCCAGTTGTCAGAATACCATGGGAGCGGCATTTTACCCTGTTGCTTAGATTTTTTTCCAAAAAATACGAAAAAACACAACAAAAAATTTCGACACAACCATGGACATTTTTTTTTCTTTTTTTCAATAATTACTAAACAAACCATAAAGTGTAGGCGTATGCTGAAAAAGAAAAAAGAATAACAGCAAAAAGTATTTCATTTAATCTAGTACCTTTTTTTTTGTTATCTAGATAATTCTAATCCGGTCTTCGAATATTTTTTAATCTAAGGATCAATGTTTTTTTTTTAATTTGCTACGAAACGCTTATAATAGTAATTTAATAGTAATCCGAATAACTGCCCGTAAAATCATAGTATTTTTGAGAGGACTCGACTCCATGTTTACTTCAAAAAAAGTCTGAAAAACTTTAGTGTATTGGAAGAAAAACGTGACAAAATATTCAAGTCAGAACCACTTATAAAGAAAAGCTGTTTTCTTTATTTAAATCATAATAAAGAATAACAAAAATAACATTATTATGCATGAAAATTGAGGGGGATGACATCAGGAAGATTTTCAGACGACCTGATAAAGGTCGCCGGGAGTAGCAGGATGAAGGGAGTTTCTTAAACACCGATGTGAAAGTCATGGTAATATTTCAAATTTGAGGTAAAAAAAGTTACATTTCAGCATTATACCAGACAGGATCTTGCGATTGTGTTGTATTGGAAACGGATGGGTCAAAATATGTTCGGTAAACCCTCAATTTTTTTACTTCAGAGCTAGTCTTCTTAAAAGACTACGTACGTGCCCCACAACTGATTTTGGTGGTTTTATCGAGGTAAGAAAACCACACTTCTTAGTTTTTCTTCCTAAAGAAAGGCGCTTTTGAAGGTTCTCCGTTTTGTCAAAAGCATTTTAGGTCTGGTCTACTTAAAAGACCACGTACGTGGCTCCTACAGATTCTGGTGAGTTTTAAGGTTGTTTTATATGGATAAGAAAATCGCACTCCTTAGTTTTTCATTGAAAAGAAAGGCCCCTTTTAAAGATTGCAACAGAGAGCTGTTGCCAAAAATATCTTAGGTATGTAAGGGTTGTGGGGCATGCATATTGTCATTAGCCCGACTTGGAGCAGGTATTCGAGCGGGATGGTTTTTAATTAGAAAGAGTCTGACACTTCTGCTAGCTTCAACCAGGTCCGCCCTGGAGGCATTCGATGATTATTTGCAAAAAAATTATTCAGATATGGAAGTTGCAGTGGTAAAAACGGATAAGTGAGTTCTAACTCAACAGAATTTTAACACCTTGAAATAAAGAAAAAGATTTGTCCAGGATACTGAAGTAGAGGAAGTACATTAAAAAACAACATTCTCTCATCATGATACTGGTTCGTGTCACTGGACAGTGATCCTCGCTTCCATCACAGTTGACTAGTCAGATTCTATTGTGCCCTGGTGTTGACCTATAACTTCATTAGAAAGATACAATGAGATAAAAAATCAAAGGGAATGGAGTCGAAATCCTTTCAAAAACCTCCAATAAAAGACTCTCCAATGGTTCAGCGGCTAAAAATGTAGCAGCAGCACGCTTCTTAGTCGGGGTCGCACGACTCGGCTGTAGAAATCGTCGAGAGCGGCGAGATAGTGCGCGTAGCGGCGCCCGCGCAACCATGCGGCGGCTGCGCGGAGCAGCCCTGCCTCCCGTGCGCACTGGCAGCGCCGGTGCGCTGTCCGCACGCTGCGACGCTTCGCTACGGTCCTGGAGAAGACATTCGGCTGGCGTAAACAAGGGTAAGGCTTTTGCATCACCAAGAAGAATAAAATGTAACAGAAGTTTTTTTTAATTTTAGGCGAAGGTCTGAACCTGATTATTTTTATTCAGGCGAAAGTGACTCCCCCATCTTTTCCCAATCCTAAAATATCCGAAACCCTTATCCCTTCCTTATAAAGGCCGCCAACGCTCTCCTAACTCCTTTGGTGTTGCGAGTGTACATCAGCACTGATTGCTTACCATCAGGTAATTATTACGTCTGCTCGTTTGCCGACTTTTACCTGATTAAAACCTCTTCTTTATTTCTTCTAGAGTTAAGTGAAATCTAAGTAATATCAAAACGACGGTGAAGTTTTTTTTGTCTTTGTTGTTAGGTACTGTTATTAAGTGTGGGAGAGCCATGCTTCGATACGAATGGCTCGACTCTACCGGAGTGATATCACGGCCTCACAGATGAAACAGCGTTGAGTTTCGCCATGTGAGTGAGGTTACCGGAGGCCCAATCCTCCCTCCCCCCCAATTTCTACTCCCCGAAAGGTCCGCAATGCACTCGTTACTCCTCTGTTGTTGCATGCCCGTGGACGGCGCTGATTGCTTACCATCAGGTAATCTGTTTGCGCCGTTTACCGTACCATTAGTCTTCATTTAATAATAATTGATTTAATCAGACTTTTTTACTATTAGTAAAAAAGCTTAATCAGACTTTTTTACTATTAGTAATTGAATCAGATTGAATTAGGATTAGATTGATAGGAATTAGGATTGAATCAGACTTTTTTACTATTAGTAAAAAAGTCTGAATCAATCAATTCAATACGTTTTCTGGTCTTCTATTATCGATATTGGCGAAACAGGTAGCCTATTTTTCGTTTATCGTTTACAGTCGACCATGGAGGTCAATAATGTGCTACCTGATGGGTAGAGGTGCATGCGCTGCGTCACTCTGCCGTCATAGGGCGGTGTCAAACATCTGCAGCGACCTGGTTATAACGTCATCTTTGAGACAAGACTCCAGAAACTCCTCAATCGTAATCACGCCATCCTGGTTCAGATCTAGCTTCCTGAATACACGATCCACCTGGAAATGAGAGAGATAGGTTAATTTGCCATTAATTGAAACCACGTCCTTCAATTCGAAAGCCTTCTCCTCAAGGAGTTTAAGTCAATTAGTTATTTTTAAAAAAAACCTAAGAACAGATTGTTCTTTGGAGCGAGCAAACCTTTATTAGAAGACAGACTGACTGATACTTTTTACCTTCAATGATTGAAGTCCAAAAGTGCCCAAAATGATCTTATTAAAATAAATTATTTGACTTTATCCCCCGTGGTGGTCCGGAGGTTAAAGCGCCTGCTTCTCATGCATGAGGGTGCAGGTTTGAAACCTGGCAAGTACCTATGTGACTGTTTTCGAGTTATATGTACTTTATATGATTATTTAGACATTACTGACATACGGTGAAGGTAAACATCGTGAGGAAACCTGGACTTATAATTTCTAATTATAAGTTTGAAATCGCCAACCCGCATTGCAAGCAAGCGTGGTGATTAATGGTCTAACCTGCTCCGTGTAAGAAAAGGCCTTTGCTCAGCAGTGGGCACTAATAGGCTGATGATGATGATGATGATGATGATGATTTGACTGTCTTTGTCTTTATAGATTGGTAGTTTATTAAGACCATACGGAAAAATATACAATAGAAAAAGACCAGCCAGCAGCGCTATTTGATAAATTTAAACCTTTTAAATTGCGAACTTCAACCTGCCTGATTGGTTACCTGTTCGTTAGCCTTAGCATCATCAAGCCTAGCCGCCGGAGATCCTGGTGGAGCCCGTCTGCCAAGCAGCTCATGAACAGCCACCACTACCTCCGCCAACTCCTGCCTGGTGATCGCTCCATCACCATCGACGTCGTACAGACGGAAGGCCCAACGGAGGCGCTCGTAGACAGACCCACGAAGCAAGGTGGAAAGAGTCACTAGGAGTTCCTGGAAAATAAGGGATCATTTTAGAAACGAGAAACATCGGTTGACTGGACATCTACACTACACGAGTCACTGTTTACATGTGAACATTAGCTCATGGCGATACCAGCGTCCGTGTCACTGGACAGTGAACCTCGCTACCATCAGTTGACTGGACATCTACACTACACGAGTCAATGTTTACATGTGAACATTAGCTCATGGCGATACCAGCGTCCGTGTCACTGGACAGTGAACCTCGCTGCCATCAGTTGACTGGACATCTACACTACACGAGTCACTGTTTACATGTGAACATTAGCTCATGGCGATACCAGCGTCCGTTTCACTGGACAGTGAAGTTGCAGTTCAATTGGCAGCAAAATCGTACTGATTAAAAACTATTAAAAAGCAAATTGGTAGCTGAATTGCCAATAGCGAAAAGATTAATTTGAAAAGTTTGCAAAGTTTTGAAGGAGTACGCCATTAATTTTATTGTAAGCGGAATTGATTTTAGCAAAGTTCCGTCCGTGGCTGGCACCGAGTATCGTTGCACTATTTTTTGCAAGCTGTTATATTTTAGGGGGCTTTGTTTAATGAAATTATTTACATAATCATTTTTTACATAAGCAAAAATTGCTTTGAATCGGTCCCATAGACCTATGTCATCATCAGCTTGATTTCGTCTACTTCTCGACATAGGCTTCCCCAATTGCACGTCACGGAGCTCGATGTTAAGCTCTTCTCACCTAACCACTGCCAGTTACCCTGTGGATATCGTCAGTCCACCTAGCTGGAGGGCGCCCTACACTAGAACACGTCTACCCAACGGTCATTGGTTCTCCGGCAAACGTGACCTGCCTACTGACACTTCAATTTGCTAAAATCCTTTGGGCTACCTATGTCCGATCATTCAGAGAGACTCCAAGCATAGCCCTTTACATAACTCGCTGCGCGGCTTTAAAGTGGAGATACCTATTGCGAGGCATATATTAGATCAACGTCAATATTCAACAGATGACTCATAAATCCTACATCACGCAAGAGCGTTAAGTGTGGGAGAGCCATGCTTCGGCACGAATGGGTGCCTGGTGACTGGTGTGATGGCACGGCCTCACAGAAAACCGGCGTGAAATAACCACAGCGTTGTGTTTCGCCGTGTGAGTGAGGTTACCGTAGGCCCAATCCTTCCCCTCCCCCAATCCCTAACAGGTCCGTAACTCGTAACTCCTCCGTTGCGGATGTCCATGAGCGGCGCTGATAATCCGTCTGCTCGTTTGCCAGCCTACAACGTAATAAAAAAAAGAGCAGTTTGCGCGCTAATAAAGTAAAGGCGTATAGAAAATCGCAACGTGAAACTGTTGGGCAGTAGGTCAGGTTGATCTGTCTGACTGTCGGAGGATCCTCCTTTTCCGAACTGTACTCTCTGTTCCCTAAACTAAAGAACCATAAAGTTTCCGAGGTTTTTAGTAAGTGAGAGCCTGACACTCCCTCTTATCCTGCCTAGGGATTAACAGAAGTCATTTGTTATTGCATTGTTCTAGCATACATTATAGAACCAGCGTTTGCCCACGACTCCGTTCGCGTAGAATAGTGACACCCTGCAGGTGTTTGGTTTAAATCTATCCTATGTCCTTTCTCTAGTTCCAAACTATGTCTGTACCAAATTTCACACAAATAGGTTCAGTAGTTTAGGCGTGAAGAAAAGACAGACAAGACAGAGTAACTTTCGCATTTATAATATTAGTTTGGATATTGTTTTTTATGGCGCCGCCATTGGAACGCCAGAAAGTTACAAGAGAGTTTTGGAGGATGTTTTTACGAATTTGAGGATTGGAGATCAGGGAAAGAGGGAAGGGTGAGGTTTGAAAATCCGGTAACCTCACTCACACAGCTAAAGTTTCACGCCTGTGTTTCTGTGAGGCCGTGGTATCACTCCGGTCGAGCCGGCCCATTTGTGCCTAAGCATGGCTCTCCCACACTTTATTGAAAAGTAATCAAATCAAAATCACATATTCCAACTAAACCATAAACAGGTACTTTTGAAACGTCAAAATAGAATAGTAGTCTGTCAGTCTGTTCGTCAGTGAAGCTAGTTGCTCATCAATAACCATGGAGTTTCTTGCTCGTTCTTCTCCATAGGAATCTACACTTTGGAACGAGCAAATAGCTTCACTAGAGGACAGACCGACAGACTGACAGACTGACACACACAAAGTTGAACCTTTAGATATTTTTTTTACTTGACGTTCAAAAGTACCTTTGGTGGTCTAATTGAAATAAATGATTTGACTTTGACTTTAAATTTGACTTTGTTGAACTTTTTAATCCAATTTTTTTTTGTTTGTCGTTCGTTAGTTCTTTCTATTCAAGTCATTGATCTAACATAGGTACAATTCTGCTTACCCTTTTAAGAACAAAACGCGTAATTCAATATCCTATGTAACAAAACTGACAGCTATGGTTCTAGAAACATTATTTCAACCCTTATAACAAAAGACATAAGGTATAAAACTAAAGGAATGGCGTTTACGACGTTATTGACAGAAACCGCCGAGCAAATGGGTCGCGCGCTCGATTTCCGAAACGGAAGAAAAATAATGATCGGACTTCAGGTATAAATACAGTATGCAGTTTCAATGTAGACCTGGTAGAAACAACACGGCTATCACCCAGTTTCTGAAAGGCTTGTCAACGTTAAAATTAACAAATCTCCTGTTAAATCTCTTGTCAAGTCATCTGATTGGTTGTTGATAATTCAGTCAACCAATCAGATGACTTGACAAGAGATTAAATTGATTTTAACATTGATCGGCCTTTCGGAAACCGGGCGTAAGTCTGTTAGGGATGGGCAGGCCACCCAAGACGGTTCCACAAAACAAAACAAAAATAAAACGAAAATATTCGAATTTCAAAATTGTCTTAGCTAAATCGGTAACCTCACTCACACGGCGAAACACAACGCTGTGGTTGTTTCACGCCGGTGTACTGTGAGGCCGTGGTAAAGCTCCGGTCGAGCCGACCCATTCGTGCCGTATGGCTCATGGTTTTTGCATTTTTTTTACCTATAGTTACTTTAGTTTTTATACGAAATTAATTGAAATTTGAAAATAACGATTTACTCACAAAATTTTTATTTATGTGATCGGTCGGCAAATGAGCAGACGGATTACCTGATGGTAAGCAATCAGCGTCGCCCATGGACACACGCAACGACGGAGTAGTTACGAGTGCCTTGTCGACCTTTTAGGGATTAGGGATTTGGAGGTTTTGGGAAAGGGAATGGATTAGAGTAGGGGAAAGATTGGGCCTCCGGTAACCTCACTCACACGGCAAAACACAACTTTTTGGTTATTTCACGCCGGTTTTCTGTGAGGCCGTGGTATCACTCCGGTCGAGCCGATCCATTCGTGCCGTAGCATGGCTCTCCCACACTGAAAAAAGCTCAACTAGTTTCAAGTCACATCGGGATTCTTGTTCAAGTGCAGCGTACGCGTCGCGGCGACGTCGCGCAATCAGCTGTGATTTTCACAGTTACTTCACGTGAATACGTCGTTATTTCAAAGTGTGGAAGAGCCATGCTTCGGCACCATTCGGCACGAATGGGTCAGCTCGACCGGAGTGATATACGACCATGACCTCGCAGAAAATTGGCGTGAAGCAACTACAGCGTTGCGTTTCGCCGTGTGATTGAAGTTACTGCCCCCATCGTTCCCCTCCCCCCATCCCCCCAATCCTTAAATCTCCAAAACCCTAATTCCCAAAAGGACGGCAACACAGTCGTAAGTCCTTTGTTACAGGTATCCATGGGCGGCGCTGATTGCTTACCATCAGGTTATCCGTCTGCTCGTTTGCCGTCTTATCATATAAATAAAACATGCTTTTCTTCTTTAATCCTATTGCTGAAGACTTCAAAGCAACTCCAATTTATCTCCTAATCCATGCTGATCGAGATGGATGGCTTACAAAGCCGTTGGCAGCTTCAGACTGGCTGGAAGCCAAGTTAGCTTTGGGCATCTCGGATATATGTGGGATTTTAGATGCTTGTTTTTTTATGAGGTATGGTGGTAAACGAGTACACGGATTACCTGGACCTCGAGTTTGCTATTATAATAGTGTCATAATAGTAGTTGATCATTGGTTTCAAAATTGTTGATCTTGACAAGTTTGGTAATCTACTAACACGATAGCGTCATTATGACTTTCCAATGCCACTTCATTGAAATAATTCTTTAGAACTGTAATCTCGTACATTATGACAAATGAATATATGTATTTTGACATAATGCAGTAAATTAATAAAAAAATGTTAGTTCCTTGAATCAATGGTTTACGTTCAGAATATTAATGTGCAGTTATTGTTTATAATTCGTTACAAGACATCTCGTACTATAATTCTATTACGACATCGCCGAACGCCAATGATCAGCCATTTTGAATTAACAGATTACGAACTTTTAGCAAAATGACAATGGAATTGTGTAGGAAGACGACACTTTGAAAATAGTAGACTCATAGACTTTCGTCAAGCATGTTTAAGAATACTCGCACGTAAGTCACCTTTAATACAAAAAAAAACTAAATTGAAATCGCTACATCCGTTCAGGCTCCAGGATGCCACAGACAGACAGACAGACGGACACGTCAAAGTTATAACACCCCTCTTTTCCCATCGGGCGTTAAAAACGATACTTTTCTATGAAATTTGTATGAAACACTGAGTTACGACGTCATAGTATTTTGGCGTCAAATAGCTTACTTATTTCTTAATAGTTATTTAAAAAATATCTAAAACTTAGCGCATCGATCGATCGATAAATAAAAGTATAGTTGTTTTTCAATATTTTATTGTATTCAAACGTCAAATTAATTTATTTTTGACCTACGAAACTACACAACTACAGCACCGCTCCTCAATGTTATAATTTTTTTAAAACATGACATACCTACCTAGTTAATATAGAAATAATTGTCCTTAATAGAAAGTAAGGAGGTAATATTATTATGTTTGTGAAAAAGGCTAAAACTTATAACTTATTTTTTATTATAACTTTAGTAAGACATTCTAAATTAATTATTATGTTTTCGGCTTACTCACGTAATAATTTGACGAGATACTCGACTAGTTTCAAGCCATGCTAGTAGCAGCGCGACAGTCGCGGAATGCTGCTCATGAATATGGGCCTCTAGTATGGCTTGAAACTAGTTGAGTATCTCGTCAAATTATTACGTGAGTAAGCCGAAAACATAATAATCAACCCCCGTTCCTTCTCCTTCTTATGTCGAGGCCGCGGTGACTTTTTTTTTATGTAATAGGTCGGCAAACGAGCAGACGGATTACCTGATGGTAAGCAATCAGCGCCGCCCATGGACACTCGCAACAGAGGAGTTACGAGTGCGTTGCCGACCTTTTAGGGATTAGGGATTTGGAGATTTAGGGATTGAGGAGGGATTGGGGGAGGGGAAGGATTGGGCCTCCGGTAACCTCACTCACACGGCGAAACACAACGCTGTGGTTGTTTCACGCCGGTTTTCTGTGAGACCGTGGTATCACTCGGAGCCGACCCATTCGTGCCGAAGCATGGCTCTCCCACACTTATTGCGCTTGCCCCTTAACCCTGGCTTCAATAGAGTCTTTGAAACTCTTTCCAACCAGAGCGGGTGAAGGCATTTGACGAATGCTGCACAAGCAAAACAAAACCATCCTTCACAAACAAAACCCCATCAATTCACCTTTCCAGAATCTGGATTCTTTCCAGAACTCCCGACAACTTTTCGCAAACTAATTGTTATATAGCTCTTAACGGAGATCTGACATTTATGGGCGACCATAAATTTCTAGATGTTTACTTAAACTGGAAAAATCGTTTTGTACCAGTTAGGTAGACGGTCGTTGCCAAAACTGTCCGACATTATAGAAAATTTTGTTTTGTTGGTCATATTAAATTGCACTGCTCGATTGGTGCGGTGGCTGGGCAACTGGCTACAGCGTACCGTGTCGCGGGCTCGATTCGAATAAGTCTTTGTGTGATCCACAAATTGTTGTTTCGGGTCTGGGTGTGATGTGTAGGTATATAAAATTGTATGTTTGTAAACGCAACTACAACACTGGAGTAAAACTTAGTGTGGGACAACGATTAAAAAAAAGCCATGCCTCGGACCGGAGTGATACCACGGCTTCACAGAAACAACCATAACATCCGGCGTGAAACAATTACAGCGTTGTGTTTCGCCGTGTGAGTGAGGTTACCGGAGTTACCCAATCCCAAAATCTCTAATCCCGAAAAGGTCGGCAACGCACTCGTAACTACTCCGTTGTTGTCGGCGTCCATGGGCGGCGCTGATTGCTTACCATCACGTAATCCGTTTTGTGATAGGATGGCAAAACATTCTATCACATAAAAAAAGATATAAAACAAACACACAACTTCAATTTATTTCGACACAATCGGTTGAACACGGAAAAATATATATTCTTATAAAATGTTCACATAGGAGCACACCCTGTATACACGGGGGATAGGAACACGCTGTATCTACGATCAAAACAAGAATATTACAGTCTATCCTGTATTGGAGAACAGTGGCACAGGGAAACCGTGGAGTCGATAACAGTATTATTTAAGTTTATAGGTATTTCTTTTTCAGAGTCAGAATGTTGGGCTCTGAAAAAGACGGAAGAAAAGCGATTGCATGTAGCAGAGATGAGAATGTTGAGATGGATGTGTGGTGTGACGAGAATGGATAAAGTGAGAAATGAGTATATAAGACGAAGTGGCGCCAGTGACTAAAAAGTTGAAATGGAACCGTTTGTCTTGGTATGGCCATGAGAAAAGGAGGGATGAAACGCATGTTACAAAAAAAACCATGAGAATAAATGTGGATGGATGGAGAGGGAGAGGGAGACCAAACAAAATATGGATAGATTGTGTGAGAAGTGATATGGAAGACAGAGGAGCGATAGCGATAGCGTGACGGGTGACAGGACAGAATGGAAGAAAAAAACATATTGTGCCGACCCATGAAATGCCTTCTCTTGCCCTACGTGGGCCAAGAGGGAGTGTCAGATTCCTTACTGGCTAATAACCACCGCGGTTCTTCTCCTACTCTTTGCGTCTGCATCTACAACCCAGACTGGAGCGAACTTAATACTTTATGGCATTTTAACAGTATTTATCATGTGTTTGTTAACAGTAGTAATCATAAAGAATTCTAGAAGAACAAAGCAGTTTAAAATATTTATATTAGCGACGTGCTCTGGAGTTATACGTTTGCAGTGCAGATACTAAATATCTCCACTATTTAATGGATGTTATTGTACATATAAACCTTCCTCTTCAATCACTCTATCCATTAAAGAACCGTATCAAAATCCGTTGCGTAGTTTCTTAGATTAACTCATGTACGTGGGTGATTCTTCACATAAATTAAACAAAAATTCATTATTCTCAACCTGCTACAATTCTGGCAGTTGTAACAAAAATAATGATTTTGAAAAATGAAATCGTATAACTGCTTTCAAGCGGTCCAAGAAAAATATTATTGATGATATTAAATTACTTACATGTTTAACAACGTAACGTAACAACGGAGAACGTAGATTTATTAATTAAAAGTTAAGATTTTTCAGAAAATCGCCCACGTTCGTTTTCAAAACAAGTTATATAAGCTAAGCCCCAAGCAGAAGCAAGTAAAGCAATAAAAATATTACGAAGTCGTCTCCGAAGATTTCTCTATTCCGCTTTTCTTTTACGTTCAAAGTTCAGACATAACGATTGCTTCTGCTGTCGTTAAAATGACAAACAAACAGATCTAACGTATCTTTATACCTATACATACTATACATACATAGACTAGCGACACGCCCCGTCTTTGCTCGGAAGCTTCACTGATGATAATTTATCCACTACCTATTCAATGGATGTTGTCCAAACTAATATTTAAATGCGAAAGTAAACTCTGTCTGTCTGTCTTTTCTTTACGCCTAAACTACTGAACATATTTGTGCGCTATTCCACGTGAATAAAGTCGCGGGCAAAAGCTAGTTATACATATAAACCTTGCTCCTAAAACTATTACTGTATATGTATTTATGGCATAGGTCGGCAAAAGCAAACGGATTACCTGATGGTAGGCAATCGACGCAACCCATGGATCCCAAAGGAGTTACGAGTGCGTTGCGGGCCTTTTGGGGATATGGATTGCGGATATTTAAGGATTGGGCCTCCGGTAACCTCACTCACACGGCGAAACACAACGCTGTGTTTGTTTCACGCTCTGTGAGGCCGTGGTATCACTCCGGTCGAGCCGACCCATTCGTGACAAAACTCTCACACACTACAAAACTTGTTTTATTATCATTTACTGTATTTTGCATACCGACCGTGATGATGAAATGTGCTGCGCTAAAATCTTTTATATATAAAAATGGATCGCAAAATGTGTTGGTAAGCGCATAACTCAACAACGCCTCGACCAACTTTGCTAATTATTTTTTTTTTGTTATATTAGTAATTGTCAGGAGAAGGTTCTTATGAATGAAAATATTAGAAAAGTAGAGGGGAAGATTTGGAAAAAATGACCCATTGATAGCGAGATAGTTGGACCCGTGCGAAGCGGGGGCGGGCCGCTAGTTAGCGCCAAGTATACTGGTGGTCGCAGTCGATTGCGCAACTACGCACCACTTGTGTGCAGGTGCGACGCCAGTATGCAAGGTTCCGAAGACGACGTCGCCGCCCCTTTACAGCGGCGGCCGAACAGGAAGAGGCGGAACTGTACAACCACTACAGAGAGGCGAAAAGCGCCCTCCAGCTGGCCATTGTCCGGGCAAAGGCCCAGGCCAATGCAGAGCTGCTGAAGACTCTGGACCGAGATCCGTGGGGACGCCCCTACCTTATGGTACGGGGCAAGTTGCGCCAATGGGCCCCCCCACTGTCCCGGAGTCTCCAGCCGCAGCTGCTGGAGGAGGTGGTGTGTGGGTTGTTTCCGACAAGACCGGAGCACACACCACCGGCTATGGTTCCGCCTCATGATTCGCCCGACGCGGACAACGAGACTGACGACGACGTGCCCGAAGTGACCCGGGTAGAGTTGAGAGTGGCGGTGGCTCGCATCAAGAACACCGCCCCAGGGCCCGACGGCATTCCAGGCCGTGCATGGGTCCTGGCTTTGAGAACTCTCTGGCCCCGACTAGCGGGGCTCTTAAGCGCATGTTTGGAGCGGGGCCAGTTTCCAAGCCGGTGGAAGACCGGAAAGCTGGTCCTGCTGAAGAAGGCGGGGCGCCCCGCAGACTCCCCATCTGCGTACAGGCCGATCGTGTTGTTGGACGAGGTGTGTAAGATCTTCGAGCGGATCATTGCCGGCCGCCTCGTCCAGTACATGACCAGGGTGGGGCCGGATTTGGCGGACAACCAATTTGGTTTCCGCCAGGGGCGCTCTACAGTGGATGCGATCATGCGCGTGAGGGTCCTGGCAGAGGAGGCAGTCGCCCGGGGTGAGGTGGTCTTGGCGGTGTCGCTCGACATCGCTAACGCTTTCAACACCTTGCCCTGGAGTACCATCCGAGAGGCACTCCGGTATCACGGGGTGCCGCGCTACCTCCAACGCATTGTCGGGGCCTATTTGTCGGACAGGTCGGTGGTGTACCCGGGTCGAGAAGGATGGGGTCGGCGAGAGACGTCGTGCGGCTTTCCGCAGGGTTCGGTGTTGGGGCCGCTCTTGTGGAACGTTGGCTACGACTGGGCTCTGCGCGGTGCGCTACTCCACGGCGTCGGCGTCATTTGTTACGCCGACGATACGCTAGTTACAGCGCGTGGGAAGTCGTACCGGCAGGCGTCCATACGCGCGACTGCTGGTGTCGCGCACGTCGTGGGTAGGATCCGGCGGCTGGGCCTAGAGGTGGCATTGCACAAATCGGAGGCCCTGTGTTTTCATGGGCCGAGGATGAAGCCGCCTCAGGGGTCCAGCATCATAGTAGGAGGGGTTTCCATCGCTGTTGAGTCCACGATGAAGTACCTCGGACTCGTTCTCGACAGTCGGTGGAATTTCGGGCCGCACTTTACACGGCTCGCCCCCCGGTTGATGGGCGCCGCTGCTGCTTTGTCGCGCTTGCTGCCCAACCAGGGGGGGCCCACCTACTCCTCCCGGAGGCTCTATATGGGGGTCGTACGGTCGATGGCGTTATACGCCGCGCCAGTGTGGGCGGGAGCCCTGACGGCTCGCAACATCGCTGCGCTGCGAAGGCCACAGCGCGCGATGGCCGTCAGGATAATAAGGGGATACCGTAAGATCTCCTTTGAGGCAGCGAGCCTCCTAGCCGGATCCCCGCCCTGGGACCTCGACGCAAAGCTCCTCGCGTCACTCTATTGGTGGCGTGCGGAGGCAGTCGAGCGGGGCGAGCGCCTGGTGCCTCGACAGGTTGAGGCACGCAGGGCAGAACTCCGCCAGGCCTTAGTGGCGGAGTGGCAGACGCGTTTAGCGCAACCCACGGCGGGGCACGCCGCTATAGCGGCGGTAAGGCCAATTCTACAGGAGTGGCTCAATAGGAGCCACGGCGCCCTCAGCTTCCGGCTGACGCAGGTGCTTACCGGACACGGGTGTTTCGGGAAGTACCTGTGTCGCATAGGCCGGGAGCCGACGTCTCAGTGCCACCATTGTGGTAATTGCCGCGACGATACGGCGCTGCATACGTTGGCGGAATGTCCAGCTTGGGCCGAGCAGCGCCGTGACCTGGTCGCGGCCGTAGGTGCTGCGGGAGATCTCTCGCTTCCGGCTGTAGTGTCTACTATGGTCGGGAGCGAGTCAGGGTGGAGTGCCGTCGCTATCTTTTGCGAGGCCGTGATGCTCGCAAAGGAGGCGGCGGAAAGGGAGAGAGAGGCTGCCTCCTCTCTTCCCTCCCGCAGCAGACGCACTAGACGTCGTAGAGTGGCCGACCTGCGGCCACCGTAGGGCGCGGCCTGCGGACGACAGACTCGGGGCGTCTAGTCGTCCGACCAGCAGCAGGCCTCGAGGCGGCGGTGCCGTGTTCCGCGCGCGCCTCATAGTGGAGTCCTGCGGTCGGGGTGACGGCCGCAGTGGGTGACGGGGCCCGCCTTACCATCTGGCGGGCCAATACCCGTCGGGGGGTTGCGACGAATGCTTCGGCGATACCCGCCCCTCCGACACATGGGTTATTGGAGGAACACCGGGTTGGTTTTTAGTCAGTAAGAGTCTGACAGTACCCTTCGCCCTTACCCCGAGGGCGGTGGGTCTCCATGAGGATTTTCCAACCCGAAACCAAAAAAAAAAAAAAAAAAAGGGCCGCTAGTTAGGTATATTTGTAACATCTTATTTTATCCACACTTCACGCAAATAAATGTTTCATTATTTCTTAAAATGACATTAATTAAATAGTGGATATATTTAGTATCAGCATTTAAACCGTGCGAAGCCGGGTGTGTCGCTAGTATGATATAAAAATAAGACAAAAAGCAATGATGTATAAAACTATAGATACGTTGTCCGCGCTCTAAAATGACAACATGAAATGAAGGCAATTGACAACATCGCGCTTAGTTACGCACCAACCTGCCGCGCGACACTACGTTTGTTTTTAATTTATATCGTGTGTGTAAACCTGTGCGAAACATAAAGAAAGCATGCCGTCGTGTGTGTTCAGACGATGTACAAATTATACTCCAAAAGTTAAAGACAAAAATGTGTCATTTCATGCGTAAGTTCACCAAACAACCTATTTTTATTTTATTTTTTCGACGCCGGCGCCCGCCATCTTATGGCGGCCGGCGCATGAAGGTATAGTCACGTGCCGATGTAACTGAAGATGTATATTTATCTCTCTCTAACAAAGGCATTACTCGTAGAAGTAGTTATCTAGTATTTTCGCCGTTTTTAAGCGCCGCGATGTTGGTTCATGACGTGTCTATATATAATACGTCATTGACAAAAAGGGCCGATTTCTAATAGTCAGATAAATGTTAACTGAGGATTAAAATTGTTGCTGTCACTGTCTTATACAAACATTGTGACGCGACAGCATCATAATTATTCCCCAGGTAACTTTTATCTAACCATTGAAAAATTAGCCCTAAATCAATAAAAAAGCAGAGGAAAAAAACAAAAAAATAGCTATATGAATGTGTCTTGTGAAACGGTCAACTGTCAAGACTGAACGAACGATAGTGATCGAATGATTGATTGAATGGCTGTATGACTGAATGGTACTCACTCTGAAACTGATAGCACCACTGCAGTTGACATCAAACGCTTTGAACACGTAGTGGGCGTAAAGCGCTGAATCTGGGAAAAAATGCACTGTGGTTTATTTGGGCACAAGATTTTTTTTTAATATTTGCCGCCGGCTCGATTAAATATCGAATGGTGGCTAAGATGCGTGCTACGATGGAGCACGCCTACCCATAAGCAATCTATTCACTTAAGCCTTGATGACACCCAGGTTATACCCTTCGGGGGACACTCCCGCAAAGAATTCCACTCCTTAGCGGTTCTAATAAAAAAACTGGAGGCGAATCGGTAACGATTCAAAATGCAGCGTGAAATATTTTCCATAAGCAATTGAGAATTTTCTAATGTCAAAATAATAGACAGTCCATTTTGAATGTAACAGACAACAGATCACTTTAAATTAGCGCCATCTAGTAGTAGTAGACGGCGAACTTGAAAATAGTACCTGAATGAATTTGACTTTAATTTAGACCTTCGAAGTTGCATAATACGGTGGCAATACTTACTTCCATGAGGAAAGAACTTCGCGTAGATGTCCTTGAACGATTCTTCTTGGACGACGCCTTCTGGACACTCCTGGAGGCAGATAGAAAAACTAGAATTAATTAATCATAGTTAAAAAAACATTGTCTCAGTTCTGTCTAGTAATCGTTCTGTGAAATAGACTTCTTTATTGTTTTATAGACTAGCTTTTGCCCGCGATTCCGTTCGCGTGGAATAGTGACTTCCTGCAGATTTTTGGTTTAAATCTATCCTATGTCCTTTTTCGAGTCCCAAACTATGCCTGTACCGAATTTTACAGAAATCGGTTCAGTAGTTTAGGCGTTAAGAAAAGAAAGACAGATAGACAGAGTTACTTTCGCATTTATAATATTAGTTTGGATAAGGTAATTCATTTGTTTCACATAATTTTTACATCAATACATTATTAATTTCAGAGCATATAATTACCGTATTACGTACATACGTAGTATTTCTACAAGAATAAATGGTAAACACTACTTATATTTTTTTTTGTTTTTAAGTTTGTAGTAGTAAATAGCTTTTCTCGCCTCTAGATCGAGAGGGAGTGTCATACTCTTACTGACTTAAAACCACCTACACAATTCCGACTGTAAGTACATCAGCCCTATTGTATATGTTCTTATTATGTATTTTTTATACATATACTTATATTTGTGTGCCTATTTGACGAATAAATGTGTTTTCTTTCTTCTTCTTCTTCTTTCTATTTTTCATTGGTTCTACCGTAAATTTTAAGCTCTGCATTCCATTATCAAAATCGACGCCAATTAGTCCGAGCGTGCCAGTCAATTATTTGTCTCCAATGGGGCGTTAAGAGGGCGTTGCTTGCCTAGGACGTTCACCAGGTTTACTCCGCTTCTCTTACTACCCACAACACCAAAGGAGTTATAAGAGCGTTGCTTGAAAAATGGAGGGCGGGGGATAAGGAGTCCGGTAACATTAATCAAGCAGGAAAACACAACGTCAGAATTATATCACGCCGATATTCTGGTATAACACCATTCGAACGGCAACACGGCTCTACCACACTTAAATATCATTATTTCCGGCTGGACTCTGGCACTGCGTAGGGATGTAGCCTCGCTATGTATTCTCTATCGCATCTATCACGGGGAGTGTTCTGAGGAATTGTTTGGTTTGATCCCCGCCGCATCTTTTCGCCATCGTTCCACGCGAAAACTTTTTCATCCCCATAACATAGATGCAACAACTGTGCGATTCACGCGTAACTTTCTGCCCCTCACAGCAAAACTTTGGAATGATCTTCCGGCGGCGGTATTCCCGAACCGATACGACCTTCAAACCTTCAAGAAACGAGCGTACTCCTTCTTAAAAGGCCGGCGACGCACCTGTGATCGCTTACCATCAGGTCATCCGTCTGTTAGTTTGCATCCTATTCCATAAAAAAAATATTTCCCTGACCAAAGTCGGGTTATAACTTGACCTAATTAAACGCAGCTATAGTTACTAAGAATCTATGGTTATAAAGTATGTTTTTATTGATTCTACAAGCTATATGTAAAAGGTGGTAGGTAGGGTTACTTGTCACAAAAGAGGGGAAGACGCTCTGTCGGATGTGGTGTAAGTTATAAGCGGAATATTTTTTAAAATCACATTTACGACGGTCTATTAGTCGTAGGATTGTGTATTTTCTCGATAAATGGACTGAAAATGGAGAATGAATAAATTCTGACAAATGCCAATGTGAATTTTTCTGAGTTAAAAAGCATACGGTGAAGAAAAATGTCTTCATTAGTCGAATGACTTTTTTGCCCTGTTCCACCGTTCCTTATTCTGTTCGAGGCCGAAGCCGCGGTACATTAACGGCTTGCACTGAGGCTGAGCATAATAAATCCTGGACTTATGATTTGTTATTACATGTTTGAAATCGCCAATCCATCTTGAGCAAGCGTGTTGGCGTGTTGAGTATACCTTATCCGTGTAAGAAGCCTTTGCTCAGCAGTGGGCACTTGTGGGCTGGTGATGATGAAAATATTAGTTTCGGCGTTATAATGAGGTAATTATCGCAGGCCCAGTCCATTTTCCCCATCCTTAATCCCCAAATCCTCTATCCTTAAATGCCTAATAACTCACAAGAGGTCGGCAACGCACTTGTAGTAATTTCTTTGATACAAAGACTGTCCATGGGCATTGGGCGGCGCTGATAGCTTACCGTATGCTAGATGTTTGCTAAAATAAGATAGCAGAAGCAAATATTTAATTTAAAAATTAATTTCTCCAAATCGCTATCGCCTATAACTCGCGCCAATCTCGCTCGCACGTCAAAACACGTAACTCCGGAAGTGAGCCGACATGTTGTCACTTTTTGACCGACTGTCGCGACAAAAGAAGTATTGTGTTTGAGAGAGCCCTGCTGTATACTTTCGTAAGTAGGTGGAAAGGTAAAAAGGTCATTCTGTTTTTGCTAATTGTGATGCGAATCGTCAGTGAAGTTTTTTTTTTTTGTTTCAGTTCCTCAGATATCTTTTTTGTGAGGGAAAACCCTAGAAGTCAGTTTAAAGTCCATCACTCCAGTTTTGGTTCAATAGTATTTTTGTTAATCATCTGATGTCTCTCTATTTAGTTTTTTCTTCTCCTCAAATAATATCTTCTGATTTAGTTTTTTTTTTATTTGATATGTCGGCAAACGGCGGACTAGTAACCTCACTCACACGGCGAAACACAACGCAGAATGACAAAAAACCCGTATTCTAATCCAGGCCGGAGCTGCCGTACATTAACGGCCTGCACCCAGGCTGAACGTGATAAAACCTGGACTTATGATTTGTTATAACAAGTTTGAAATCGCCAATCCGCTTTGAGCAAGCATCGTCATTAGTCATTAATCATCAAGCCTTTTCCGTGTGAGTAACCTCACTCACACGGCGAAACACAACGCCGTGGTTGTTTCACGCCGATTTTCTGGGAGTTTTTTTTTACAAAAAAGTAATTACATGAATTTTCCCTCTCAAGTATGCATTTAAGTATGTGTATTTTCATCGATTTTTAAACTTCCTTGTTGTTGAAATTCTTATGAGGTAGGTAGGTACCGTTATACGAATACACTGAAAAAAAAACATCATCTTTGTTCCCAACCTCGCTACCGAAAAGAAATACCACAGAAACAAAACCGAAAATCTGTCTCACAAAAAGCTAACATACAACGGACGAATTTTCGCAGAAACAATGTTGCCACACTTTTAAATGTCACACGTAGACATTCGAGCGACGTTGACAGCCACTTCTGCTGTGTAGCAATGGCGGGTTCACTTGACATTCTACCAAAAATAGTTTTTCTAGTTGCCTCTCAGTTTCTTTAAGCTTATGTTCCAATGTATGTAGTTATTATTTTTGTAGGATAAGCAGACGACGTAGTGGATCCTGAGGTCGTGGTGGCCCCGAGGTTAAGGCGCCCGCTTCTCATGCATGGGTTAGAAACCTGGCAAGTACCAATGTGACTTTTGCCGAGTTATATGTACTTTCTATGATTATTTAGACACCACTGACATACGGTGAAGGTAAACATCGTGAGGAAACCTGGACTTATATAACTTATATTTCTAATTAAAAGTTTAAAATCGCCAATCCGCATTGTGTAAGCGTGGTGGTTAATGCTCAAACCTTGTCCGTGTGAGAAGAGGCCGTTGCTCAGCAGTGGGCACTAATAGGCTGATGATGATGATGATGATGCAGTGGATCCTGACCTAAAGGTAACTGATCTGTGCAGTATCAAGCAACATCATCACACCACATCATCAGCCTATAAGTGCCTATTGCTGAGCAAAGGCCTCTTCTCACACAGAGAACCACGCTTGTTTAAGGCAGATTGGCGATTTCAAACTTATAATTAGAAATTGTAAGTCTAGGTTTCCTCACGATATTTCCTTTCACCGTATGTCAGTGGTGTCTAAATTAATATAGAAAGTACATGTAACTCGGAAAAAGTCACATTGGTACTTGTCAGGTTTTAAATCGCACCCTCATGAGTAGCGGGCGCCTTAACCTTGGAGCCACCACGCGTACCTATAGACACCATGTCACAAATAGGTAGCCAGAATAGTTGAGGGTTGCGTGGGATTGGGGCGGTAATTTCACCTATATGACAAAATGGTGAAATACCTCTTTTCATAGTGATACTATGGTGGATATTCCTCAAAAATGCAGGAAGCGACTCGCCTCCAGATTTATCATCAGATTCACTAAGTAACCTTCTTCGTCAGAGCTTGCGTTCCCAGAAGGGTCGTCAAAGGCTCGAGTGAATAGGTCACATAGTAACGCTGGTATCGCCATGAGCTAATGTTCACATGTAAACAGTGACTCGTGTAGTGTAGATGTCCAGCCAACTGATGGTAGTGAGGTTCACTGTCCAGTGACACGGACGCTGGTATCGCCATGAGCTAATGTTCACATGTAAACAGTGACTCGTGTAGTGTAGATGTCCAGTCAACTGATGGTAGCGAGGTTCACTGTCCAGTGACACGGACGCTGGTATCGCCATGAGCTAATGTTCACATGTAAACAGTGACTCGTGTAGTGTAGATGTCCAGCCAACTGATGGTAGTGAGGTTCACTGTCCAGTGACACGGACGCTGGTATCGCCATGAGCTAATGTTCACATGTAAACAGTGACTCGTATAGTGTAGATGTCCAGTCAACTGATGGTAGCGAGGTTCACTGTCCAGTGACACGGACGCTGGTATCGCCATGAGCTAATGTTCACATGTAAACAGTGACTCGTGTAGTGTAGATGTCCAGTCAACTGATGGTAGCGAGGTTCACTGTCCAGTGACACGGACGCTGGTATCGCCATGAGCTAATGTTCACATGTAAACTGATTTGTCACGTTGTCCTTGCTTCTAATTAATTTAGGTATTCTAAACAAGATTATGAAACCTTAAAAGATATTGTGTGATTGTAATAATACAGCTGGAAGGCCCAAGGCCAAAAGTGTGGGAGGGATTTTACCAACGGACAGGCACGACCTGAGTGATACCACGGCCTCACAGGAATCTAGTGTGAAACATCTGAAGCGCAGATAGGTAGTGTTTCGC